CGTGTGAGATAGGATATGGATGACGGGGGCAGATCCAAGAGCAATTTCACAGCAGAACACACTCGTGACATAGGTATCTGAATCCTTCAAGTTGCCACCAAACTGCTCCACGAATACATTAATGAAAAATGATGAGTGTTTCCTGCCATCTGGGACTTAGCTCTAAATTCCCTTCCCCATGCTCCTCTGCTTTAAGATCTTCCATAAATGTTATTTGAATTAGACCAAAGATTCACTCAAGCAACAGAGCGGGGTCCCTGGACACTGTACAAGTGTAGTAGCCTGGTTTCAAATGTTCCAGCTTGCTAGGGGTTCCTCTGTGAAAGATTTCTATTTCTATTCTCTCAATTGTTTCTGCTACCAGAGGCTGTTTCCAACAGGAAGTTAGGAAGCTGCATTAACTTTAAAAAATAAAAATTATTTTTAAAACTAAAATAAAAAAAAAAGTATCAAACTCGGGTTCTTGTGCTTGCAAAGCAGACAGCGGAATAACTGATCTAAGTCCCTGGCCATTACAAGGATTTCTCTCTATATTTCCCCTTCGCTTTCTTTCCCCATAAGGATTTTGATCACGAAAGAAAAATAAATAAAACAGAAGCAAGCTCCTGGGAATGCAGTCTTCACTTTACTTTGAGACTCGTTGTGACTCCAGGTTGCAGGATGAACACTCCTTGAAGATTTTGTTCCAGAGTGTTCTAGCATGAGATTTTGTAGACGATGTATTATGGGCCCCATAAGATGTCAAAGTAACGCGCAGCCATGACATGAGCAGAGAGAGGAAAACAGCATTTCCTCAGGTTGACTGACTGGGAGGAAGGGCAGCTCCTTGAACTGTGCAGCGGCAGTATCACCTGGTAGCTTGTTGAGAGTGCAGAGCCTCTGTCCAGCCCCAGACCTACTATTTTTTTATCATGTTCCTGTACAATTCCTATACAAGCTAAAGTTAGAGAAGCACTGACAGAGGACTGTTTCTTGTCTCCCCTTTGAAACCATAATCCCTTCCGGGCTTTATGCAATTTATTACCCAACACAATACCTGTACCCATACTGAGCCAGCAGGAGGGTCCGCAGTGGTGGCTAAGTGGATGGCAGCTTTGTGACTGTGTGGCACCAATGATCTCCAATACATGGCACCAGGTAGGACCCTTGCCAATAGGGTGATTGCTATTGAAACAGCTGGTAGCCTGTGTTTCCTCTGCCATGGAGGCCTGTGGTTCTTACTGTGTTATTGTATTGGAGGAGGATTTGCTTGCCTTAGCAACCTTAATTATTGCATCTAATGTCTGCTGTGAAACTTCTGCCTTGGCCTGAGCTAAACGCTGCATGAAATGTCTCGTGTAATCCTTGCAACACCCTATGAGGGAGGTAGGTAATTTTCCTTCCATTTGATTGATGGGGAAACTGAGGCACCAAAAGGTTACATTCTGCTGGAAAGAGGCAGAGGCAGGATTGTAACCTAAACTCAGAGCCTGTCTTGCAGTGTTTCTCAGCTTTTTCCTATTATTGCCTCCCAAGCAAAAGCAATTTGACATTTGTTGCAATTGTCCTCCCATAAATTTTAATGCCAATCTATTTACATTCTCTCTCTCCACACACACCTATATAATGCAATGTCTATCATGTAAGATTTTTTTCACCCTCCTTCAAGGTGCTGCTATTATTATGCCCTTGCGGACACCATCACTTCCAAGAAGAATGGCTCGCTCACTTATCACCTCATTCACAAATGATTTGTCTGTACCTCCTATGTCTGGACTTTGGTCACAGTGAGGAGCCCAGTGTCTGGGGCTCTAGAAAGGCTGCCCTTGAGAAGAACAAAGCAGGGGCTGTGGGCAGATTTAGCAGCATTCCCCACCATGGAGGGGCAGGTGGTGCCGTGGGTTTCCCCTCAGTGTGGAAGCTGAGAGGCAGCAGGCCTGGAGTGGGTCTCTGGCGCTGCCACGATCTGCTCCTGTGGCTCTGCGAAGTCATTCCAGCTCTCAGCGCACTGCCAGCCTTGAAAATGAGAGAGGCGATCTTCACTGGTACTTGAAAAAAGCGAACTCATGCTAGGAGTCCACAGGCAGGCGGGGGGTGAGCCACAAGCAGCACAGTTCCTGGAGGGCAGAAGCACCGTGGGACAGGGTGCAAACGTGCACACAGCAGCCTCTGCTCTGCTCCCTTCGGCCACAGGGAGCCTCATGCTGGTCTTTTAACTGGACGCTAGCCCAGTTAAAGATTGCAAGATTTGGGGCAATGGATAAAGACGTGTCTTCCCCTATTTTTACCCCTTACTCTCATCAATACCTTTAGAGAACAGGTGACTTAAAATTTCACCCCATCACCATCCAACCATGGAACAGCCCACCTGGAAACCGGAAGAAGCAGGAGCCAGGCCTGCAGACCAGGAGGGTGGTGCCCTGAAACCCAGGGGCACAACTGCAGTAACGGGTGGGACAAGAGCTGAGCTCTTTCCTGGTGTGGCGCTCAGAGCTGAGCTGGCTGGCAGTGGGCACTTGGGGAAGCCCCACTACAGAGAAGTGTGAGTCAGTGCGAAGGCTGCAGGCTTGTGGCAGGTCTGTGGGCCAACAGCAGACCAATAAACTTAACCACCAGTGCTTCGCCAGTCCCACTGGCTGCCCAGGGGCCCATAGGGAGTTTCTGCTCACAGGCTCCTACAGTCTACTTGGAGCTTTGTGACCTAACAAGATGGTGTTTATTTTCTGTCATCAGAGGAGAAATGAATCTTGACTAAAAGTGTTACACTTTTTCCGTCCTTCATTACTTCAAGCAGTTGTTGGGAGCCATGAGGAAGAGGCGGGCACTTGGCTCGGCTCTGGAACTGTACCTGGATGAGGAAGTGTGCCAGAGGATAAAGGCTGTGCTGATGAGGAAGCACTTGCAGCTGCCAGGCATGAAGGAAGGTTCCTCTCAGGTGCTGGTGTCGTGGGGCTCTGGAGAAGCTGTGGAGCTGCCAGTTCCTGTCTGCCTGCTTTTCTGCCTCGGTCTCATCTGACAAGTGATGATCTTGGTGATCATAGAAAGTCAGGGGGGAAAAAAAAAATCAAGGAAGTGAATTCCACATGGAAACCCTGGCAACTGCTCATGATGTGCGGTTAGGACCCTGTCCACTCCTTCACCCTTCTTGAGAAAGGACGGCCTGGCCCTCCAGAGAGGCTGGTGGAGAAACATACTTGCTGGGATACTGCATCAGGGCCCTGAGGCACCCAGCTCTGGGTTCCAGGTAACATCAGATTACCTGGTTGCACTCATTTTTGGTTCCAAGTCTCCAAACAACCCCAAAATGTTCATGCCCCTGGGTTGGAAATCACATCAGGGAACAGGAGGTAAAGGGCCTGGGGTTTGGCAGGGATAAGTGCTAGGCAAAGACAAAAGGCACACAGTAAAAGAAGAGAAAGGACAGGGATGCCTCTGTCCTGAGTTACAGAACTTCCAGTTTTACTGAGAAGCATCCTGGGGAATTTGTCCTTTTGTCCCCCCACCCCCCAGCAGCCTGGGAGATGGAGACTCTTGTTAGCTTAGCTAAGCATGGGATTCATGACCTCAGGAGGAAAGGGAGGGGGTCGGAGTAGCCCTTCCTCCTGTTCACCGCACCCCTGCCCAGCCAGACCTGCCATTGTTCCTTGAAAATTACCTCATTCAGTTAAACCAGCTCATTCAGTTATAAATATTTATAATTTTTCTTTTTCTTTTCAGAAAAGCCTCAAGAGAATAAACAGAATAGTCAACCACTCGCTCAGGCGACCCTATGATGGGCCACCTACTAGTTGCTGGGTGACACAGTAACACAGCAACAGGGATCAAGGCACTACAGCTGGGAGGACTATCCCGGGAGGAGGGTGGCCTTCGAGAGGAGCCAGAGGTTAGGACTGTGCCAAACGGGGGTGAGGATGACTGGGGAGAGCACACGCCTCAGAGGGGCAGCTTAGAGCTGGAGGTAAAGGAATGAGTAGGGGTAGACGGCACCCATCCCTCACCTGCTCAGCTGGAGAAGCCCCCTTGAGTTTGAAGAAGCATCTCAGCTGCTTTAGGAATTGCTGCAGTAGCTCTTTATCTGAAGTTTCACTTTTTGAAGTTTCACTTTTTGCAGTTTCCTGCAGTCAACCATAGCTGAAAAATATAAGATGGAAAATTTCAGAAATAAAGGAGCCTTGGACCTACTGGGCCCTGTACTACTGAGCCATGCCCCCCGCCCATTTAATTTGATTCTGAGATGGGGTCTTGCTAAGCTACCAAGGCTGGCCTGGAACTGCCAATCCTGCCTCAGCCTCCCAAGCCCCTAGGATTAGAAAGGCGTGCACCACCATGCGTGTCCTGTTGATGGTTTTAAACAGTGTTATTTCAGTTTTATTCTTGGCAAGAGTAATGACTTCCAATTTTAAATTTGCTCTGTGTACAATTTCTGATTGGATTTTGTTTGTCTAGAAAGGATTTAGGGAAGAAGTAATTAAAGGGGCTGAAGCCAGAGGGGGAAAGAGAGAGGAGAAAAGTCAGGACAAATACCAAGGAGCTGCTCCTGGCTGCTGGCATGGGCTGTGGTTTCAAGAAGGGGTTAAAGCAATGACCACTGGAGGACTTACCAAGGGACAGGCCTGTCAAGTGACAGCCGTAAGAAAGCCTGAACCAAGGGGTGTGATCCACTGAAGGATTTGGAATCAGGAAACTTGATTTTTTTTTTTTTTTTTTTTTTTTTCGTACTCACTCTGAAAAAGAGATAACTCCAAGACTCTGGGCAAGTCCCTTAACTTTTTTGTGTCCTCATTTGTAGAGTGGAGACGCTAACCTTTGGCTCTTAGTCAGCTCTAGCCAGCCCTTATCCCCTTATGGGAGGGCCCAGGCCCCTCTGGGTGGGGACCAGACCTTGTGACCTTGCTCTGCTAGCTCCAGAGCTGCAGTACGGCCAAGGGTGACCAGAGACTCGAGGCTTCTTTCCAAGTGATGAGCTGCACAGCCAGATTCTTCGTGAGAATTTGAGAGGAAACCAGGGCCCCCTGATAATAGTCTCCAGACACTATAGGGTAGGAAGTGGCACAGGGTGGGTTCAGGTTGGGGCCCTTGCCTGCGGAGGAAAGGAAAAACAGAAGGAGAGAGAGAAAACACAAAAGGGCAAGAGCCCCTCTGTGCTCTCCGTGGTCCAGGTCCAGCTTGCAGTGGGCCACTGAGCACCATTTCCCATCCTCCAGGTCCGGGAGACACCAGCCTTCTTGCCACAACCTCATGTTCTTTTGTTTTCTGCAACTCCTGAGCCGGGCTTCCCTGGAAGAGTGCCGGCCCCGTGTAGATAAGGCCGAGAGCTCTCACTCTCCTGGAGAAGCCCGGGCCCTGGCACTTGTCCCCCTAACCTGCTGTCACTTCTGACTCAGGGCTGCTCATCTCTTCGCAGCCCCATGACAGCAGGACATTTGTGCACTTCTTCTCGCTTTCTCTGCCATACCTGGTGACACCTGGCACGTAAGAGACTCAGTGACACTGTCCTTTGCCGGAAATGGCAGGGTCAACCTCAGCCATTCTTTCCTGTCCTTCACACCCTGTATTCAGCCCTCTCTTTCCCATCTAGAGCCCCACTGCTCCGATTTCTTACCTGAGCCTTCTGCACTCCACCTTGGAGGGATTCCTGGGGATCCCTAGGGTCCCACCCTCTCCCGGGTGGGTGCTGTCTGCTCCCCAGGGCTCCCAGCTCAGCAGTCTCCTGCCTACCTCTCCAGCCTTGCCTCCTTCACGCCTGATTTCTGCTTTTTGGCTTTAGCAACAGAACTGGCTGACCTCAAAATGCCTTGCCTCCCAGCCTCTGTCCCTGCTGTGCTCTTTTCTGCCTGGAAAGCTGCTCTCGTGCCACCTCTCCCATCACCCTCCTAGCTTCAGTTCAGCCAGGCCAACACCTCTTCCCTAGGCTTCTCCTGGCCGGCTCACCTGTGTTCTCAGGACCTCTGTGCTTCCCTCTTGTCAAAGGACCCATCTGGCTGTGTCACCACTGTCCATTTGTCTGTGTGCTCCGAGAGATGGTGGGTGACAAATGGCCTGGCACTTCCTGTGAGCACCAAGAAAGCGGGGCTGATGCACATACCAGATATAACGCCTGCTCTTTCCCAGCTGTACCACATGGGCAAGGCTTTAACCTCTTTCACCCTCCGTTTCTCCAACTGTGCCACAGTGATAACAGTAATATCCACTTCACAGGGTTACTGGGAAAATTAAAGGCAGGGTGTGTAAGTCCTCAGCACCCCACCTGTCTGGCAGAGAGGGCTGCATCGTTGTTAGCTGCTCCCGTGACTAAGAAAAGTATTTCTACAGGCTGCTAGGGCAGGTCTCCAAACACCAGAGCTCAATCTGCTGTTCCAAGAAAGAATTAGGAAGTCTCTTAGAAAACAACAAATCTTCCTTAAGTATTTTTTTTCTAGGAAGATGGAAAATTTGTCCAGAAACCAGGCATCCAGCACAAACCATTTTGGTTTTTTTTGTTTGTTTGTTTTTTAAAGTGAAAACCCAAATATTTTAAAGGAAAAGTATGGATGTCTTTGAGTGGCAGATCAGATGAGGATTTAAGATTGTTAAAAGGCAGGAGAGAACACGGATGGAAGTTTGCTGCTCAGTGGGGCCCGCACTGGGCGGAGTCACCGTAGGACTGAACTTTTTGTGGAATCCATGCCACCCACCTCTCCAGGGCGGTCAGGCATTGAGCTGTCCTGGAAACCGGGTGCTCTTGGACTGGCTGAGGCGGCCCTAGACATTTCCAGCCTTTCTCAGAAGGGCCTGGGCCAAAGTGGCCCCAGAAACCTGGGAGCAGGTAGAGGGCAGCAAGGACATATTTCGTACACCCTAACGTGCGCGATCAGCAGCTGCCCAAAGCCGATGCGGGAGGGTGGGAGCGATCCCCAAAGCACCCGGAGCAGGCGCAGGCCGGCGAGGGCTCGGTCGCCCCACCCCAGCCCTGAAGGCGAGCTTCGAGGGACGCCACGGACGACAGCCAGAGGCACGCGGGTCAAGCAGGAGGCGCTCTCCACACGTCTCCACTTCGGGGCTCGGTCCTCCGTCTCCTCCTCCTGGCATTGGGCTCTTGGCCCCGCGGTTGGGCGGGCCGATCTCTCAGGGCCCCGGCGCTCGCTCCCCCGGGAGCCGCCCCCAGGGTTTGGAAACTGCCCGGCCCGGTT